CTGTTCCTTTATTTCCATATGTTCCACCAGAAATAGATCATGACATCATCGAACGTTTTCCTCTGGCTTTTAATTTGTCAATCTTAGCCCGGCATCTACGCCAATAATTGTGCAGAGATCCGTTGATTCCGACATTGTCAATTACTGTCAAGCCAAGCCATTGTTTAAGAAAGGCCCAAGCTTGTTTTGTGAAGTCACAGTCCTTGCACAGATGCGTGGGGTTTTCAAGGTCATTACTGCAGAGCTTGCATATCGGATCATTCGGCCAGTGGCGTTTTATCAAATTGTTAGCCGTTAGGATCTTCTTATGTAGCAACGTCCATGCAAAAAACCTGCATTTGGCCTCAGCCTTTGCTCTCCATACTGGCATACTTGCTGAAGGTCCCTTGGAACTAGATTTGGTAAGCACTTTTTGTTGTATATTCCCCATCTGTTGTCCATCGCCGAACTATACTATCCTCCCTGCTTTCATCTAGCTATATCTGTTGTACAACATTCCATAGCAAGACATACTCCTGTAATTCAGTAGACGAGAGCACAGGGCTGATATGCTCTATTCATTTATTGTCCTGCAAGGCTTTCTGGACCGTGACATTTTTTCTTTTAGCTTTTTTGAATAGCATCGGGGGCATGTTTTTGAGAGTTTGCCCTTGTGCCCAGGATGACGACCAGAACTTGGCGAATTTTCTATCTCTGATCGTTGCTACTGTGGATGCTGCAAAAAGTTTCGGTCTCGACTGTCGCAAGGCAGTTCAAGTTTGTTCCATGCTCTTCCCCTTTGTCACCATTAGAACCAAAGCCAACGTAATCTTAATGCACGCGCAAAACGTTCAAGGTCTAAGATCCCCAAACCCCCTTTTATCTTGGGGAGACAGGTCGTTGGCCAATTGATGATGGAGTGCCCCCCGTACACTTTGTCCAGCATTTCTCCCCTCCAGATAAAACTCCTTCGTAACCGATCAATCCTTTTAATCAACCATTTTTGTTTCGGGGAAATGGTCATATGGTAGATCGATTGAGCTGACAGCACTGCTTTCACAAGGGTTTCCCTCCCTGCTGCGGACAGTAGCCTGCCCTTCCACCCTGGTAGTCTAGCTCCAATCTTGTCTATTAATGGTTGAACTTCTACTTTGCCTCTATACTGATTTTTAGAGGCGGATCTTTAAAGGTATTGTACCTAAAAGTAATATTTTCGAGGCTCGTTGTATATCTTCATACAGCTTGCAAAATTTTGGATGCAAACCAAGTCCCTGTTCGCTTGAATTTATCAGCCGTAACTTTTCAACGAAATAACAGTGTTTTTCTCTCTCAACAAATCAGCATCAGCCGTTTTTCCAGCCAGCCGAACATGGCCCAAAATTCAAAGCTGCATATATAGACCCTAAAAAGTAATGTCATACCCACTCACTCCCCTCCTACTAAAAAGCAATGCCGCTCAAACTCTCTTATCTAGATATAAATTATATCTAGAAATGTCTTACAAGTTGAAATATAGAGGGGCTTAATCTGTTTTTGATTTAGGTCGGTTATATCAGCTGAGTATTACCTTGCTGGAAGATACGTAATTAATAATAAATAAACGTGCAAAAGGTGTCCCTTACGTACGGGATGAGCCAGTATATGCCCGTTGATCGATCAGGGGACATGATATCAGGAATTTATTATATAGATAGAGTATATGATTCGTATCCGTCAGCAATATCTGGCACGTATACATCAAGCCGATTCTTCGATGATCATGTGGTATACACTACAATGTACTCCGTACAGTGCTAGCTTCTAGCTTGCTAGTAGCTACATCTAAACGTCTCAAGTTGGAACGATGGGACGCCTCACAGATCGATTTGTAGAAACATTGCATATATACCATCAATCAATATATATACATATAACAAATGTGAATGCTATTGGGAGAGACCCTAGAAAAGAACCAGCAAGGACCTCATAGATTCCATCGCTCAAACCTTTGGGTTGCGTTTGGTTGGTGGACGGAGATGCACTACGGGAATCATGAGATTTGTTGAGTGCCCCTGGCACTCGCCAAAGCCTAAAAAACACTTTGTATGAGCAAAGATGCAAAAAAAACACTTCGGTGAATTTTTATCGTTGCCTGACTTTGCCGTGTTTTTAATCGGACACTCAGCAAACTTCGCCCGAGTGCCCAAAATACACTCGGCAAATATTTTTTTTGAAAAAAAACCACCACAAACATTTTTTTGAAAAATAAAAAATCCACCACCAGTTCTCCGCTGGCGCCGTCGGTCTCCGCCCGGCCACCGTCAACCTCCGGCGCGCCCTTCCCCTAAATCTCGCCTCCGCTCCCGAGACTTCACGGCCGGGACCACATGCCACAGCCACCACATCCACCACCACCACGCCACCGCCACCCCACCACCACGCCACCACCCGCCATGCTAAGGGAAGAGAGAGAGAGGGCGCGGCCGGGCCGGATCCGCCTTCTAAGAGAGAGGAGGAGAGGAGGGGAGGGCGCCAGGGTGGGAAGAGAGGAGAGGGGGGCCAAGAAAGAGGAGGCGGTCGCTTGGATCCGTCACCCTCAAGAGAGAGAGGGGCATATTGCGGATCCGCCCGGGATTGAAGAGAGGAGGAGAGATTGCCATAATTATTGGGATTGAGAGAAGAGGAGGCGGCAGCAGGCAGGATCCGGCCTCCCGTCGCCATTTCGCCCGGATCCGCCTAAGTGCTAAAAAACCTGATCTGGTGGAGGCGGTGGAGGAGGAGGAGGTGCTCAACACTAGGAGGGGGGCGGGCCACGCCCAAGAAATTCAGCAGGGAGGAGGAGGGCAGGCCGCATGGCACAGACTGCATCCATCAGGCCAGGATGCCACTGTATTTTTTATTCCACTAGGCCAGGATGCTAAGGAGATGTGGGCTACCAAACGGTCTTCTATTCGAGATTATACGCATTAGAGGATGCAGGGTAGCCGATATCCGGGCAACCAAACACGTCCTTGGTCTCTAAGGGACCCTCAATTGAGATTGTCATATTTATTATTGATTGATTGAAGGGGAGACAGAGGCAGCATGTCATTGGATGCATTTCCCTCACCGTAGGTGCCAAAAAACCTGAGGTGAGGAAAAGCAACCAAGTAGGTAAAAGGAAGAAAAAACAACACTAGATGGGCTTAGCTTGCCCAAGAAATTCAGCACGGCCCAGAGACCAAAATTCAACACTTAATCCATACTGGAGCTCCAACGAGGTACACTCACGATCACCAAAACTTCCCTAGTCATGGTGTCAAGCTCTTTAAAAAGGTTTGTGCAAAACCAAGCCAAATGTCACAAGCCACAAAGGCTCTCACCAACGTCACTCGACTCTTCTGGTCACCTTAGCGTCGTCCCACTGGAGCTTTCCACCAAGGAGGGGGTTCTTCTCGTTCCTTGTGCACCAAATTGCCACCACTCCTTACCAAGCTTGGAGGATTGACATCGCCAAAAGGCCATCACGGAATCAATTGATTTGTCTCACTAAGACAAAAGGGCACACACACTCAATCTCTCAAGATCTCAAGCTACAAGGCCTACACCGCACAAGGATGAACACTAAGCTCTATCCCACCCACGGCTTGGATGTGATCGATATGTGCTTGAGTGGTGGACGGAGTTATCCAATTCGTGCAATAGCTTCAGCAATCTCTACCAACCATGAAATGGATAACAAATTGGATATATATAGCCTCCCAAAAGCTCCTAACCACCGGGCTTGATTTCTGCATTTGCGTTGAACACTGGATGATCCGTTGGCCCCTAAAACCTTCCACCGGATCATCCGACCATTGCCCGCTTAATTTACCGCGACCACTCCTTCAGTGACATTAGGACTCGCAAATTATTAAGATGCACCGCATGATATGTGAATATTTGGATCGAGTACGTACTAGCTTATTGTTTTTTTTTGAGAGAGAGAGAACAGGAGAGGCCCAAGGGCCTCTACAGAAATTTTATTAAAAAGCAACCGAGAAGGTTACAGGTAAAAAAAATAGAACAACGAGCTTACAAACATGGAGAAGAAAAGAGAGAAGGGAGGTTTCAGGAAACGAAAAAGTAGACAAAGAAAATCAAAGTACTGAAATAGCAGTTGAGCTAACAATTATGTAATCGTTGCTTTCAAGAATGTATACAGATGGTAGACTCGGAGAGCGCGTAGTAGACGCGCGTGCATGTTTTGGTTGGCCTGCCTATTCTGTTTCGATCTGACCGTACTACGTACGTGGTTGTTGGTACGCAGAGGCAGGCTGGCACTGGCAAAGTCACACGATCGAGCAATATTTGTACGTCTAGCTGTAGGTACAGTCATGTGATCTATCTAGTGAGGCATGCAAAATATATTTTGTCATCATGTAATGATTTCTTTCTTTCATTGAAAACGAAACGTCAGGAAAGGATCCAACGTAACAATTATGCATTGCCAGATTTATGGTTTTGATTAATTTCCCAAAGGTAAAATTCTAGGCTTGCTATATGTCAGGTGTATGGATCTTTTGGAAGTTTCAGCCAACAATTTTATGCGATTCAAATATACAATTAAAAAAGAGAGATTATTTTTTCTATAGTCAAAACAATAACAAAATTGCATGTTGTCTGAACAATAAAGAAAAAAATCAAGCACCTGAGATAATAGAAGAAGTGAAAAAATAAGAATAATGCTAGATATTCTGATATAGTAAGCAGTAAAGCACCGTCTATCGGAAAGAAAGAAATTAAGCAAAGTTAAGCAGCAGAAGGGAAGTAGTGAAGGGTACGAGTACAATAATTGGGTTGTACGTATCTACATGTCCGTAGTAAGTTGCCAGAACCATACGCAACACACACACATGAATGTACCATGCATGTACGTGCCGGACACCTCCTCTTCCTCTTTCTCGTCATCTTCCTCTCTTCCGAGCAGGTGGAGCTAGCTGCTGGAGGCCGGCTGAGCACAAGACAAGACGGTAGCAGCAGTGCAGCCGGAGCGAGCAAATCAGCAGAGAGCAGCAGCGGCAATGGGTCTGTCGTCAAGGTGCGGATGCCGGTGCGAATGCGTCACCACCACCACCCACGGCGACGTCGTCCGCAACCGCAACAACGATGTTGCCCCCGACGCCGTCTTGGAGGGCCTCGCCGTGGCCGGCCTCGTGGCCATCCTCCGCCAGCTCGGAGACCTCGCAGAGTGCGTTGGATCGGAGTCCCTAGTACTAGAAGTTATCTCCAGTAATATAATCGAACCGCCTGCACACGCCGGCCGGTTTATACACATACTGAGAATGCATGATGTGCATGCTGCTGCAGGCTTGCCGCGGAGGTGTTCGACGACATGCAAGACCAAGTGATGGCCGCGTCGGCGCGAGGGCGACGGCTCGCCGTGAGAGCCAAGCGGCTGCTGGAGGCCGACCTCGACATGCCTCCGCCGAAGTCGACCCACAACTCTGCGGCTGCTCTCACCTTCACCACCTCCAGCTCCGGTACGCGCGCATTTAATTTCACGCACCACTGACGACACCGAGCGGCGAGCGCTCACGGCGTATGCACTGCGGTGGTGCAGGCCGTCTCGGCTGCCGCGCGCATGTCAGAGGAGGAGTCGGCGGAGGCACGCCGCCGATGCCGCGTCTCGTCGTCCAACGTATCAGGCGCTGTCGCGGGCCTCCCAGGCTGTCACTCCTTGACAAGTATGCATCCATGGATAGGATACGATGATGCTCGTCACTCTCGCTCACTCCTGTGCTGGTGCTGCCTGCTACTCCTCATCCATCTTGGTGTTGCATTGCAGGTTTGATGCTTCTGGCGAGGGAGCGTGCCTCAAGAGGTACACCGATCCCTCCTTCTTCTTCAGGGCCCATTCTGCCAGGCTTGAGCAAGGCACGCTGAGAGTCAGAGCAAACCGCGGACCATATCTGAAATCCATGTCCATGGTACTCAAATCAAATCCAATCCTAGCTCTCACTCAATTGTTCACCTTGAGTTCGATTTAATATAGCAATTTTTTTTTTTTTTTTTTGTTTCTGGCAGGAAACCAGGCCCAAGATTCATATTGCACTCAACTCTGAACCTCCCGAGTCAGCCCACACTGTCACTGACTGCAAGTAACACTTCTCTCTCTCTCTCTGTCAAAGCCAGCCCTTCCTTGCTTCCTTCCTTCCAGAGTTACTGTAGTGTGCTTCTCTTCTTATACATTTGTTAACCACTGCACTGTTGCGCGCGGCTTGGCTTCTCAGATCAGAAACAGAAACAGAAACAGATGCATCCGAAGCGCCGTCTCCTGGCTTCCTCTCCATGCTCCGACAGCTGAAGAAGCAGCATCGGCAGGCAGCAGGTGCCGGGTCCCTCTTCCGAATGCAGCAAGCAGTTGACAGGGTCCAGTCTTCACCTCAGCTCAACACGGAAAAGAAGCTGCAAGGCGGCGGCACAGCGCAGCCCAGCCCCAGTGAGCTCGAGAGGACGAGCTCTTTCGAGGCATGGCTCGCTCCAGATGCTCGCCGCTTGACTACTGCTACTCATCATCACGAGCACGACGAAATCATCACACAGGAACCACCCCATCCCCATGGTGCTAGTGCTACTACCTGTAGTGGATCCGTCAGTGATGTTGTTACCACATCAATTGGTGCCCTTAGCAGCAGTACCATGCTGAAGGCGAAGCAGAATTCAGAAGATGCAGAAATACCCTGCAGCAAAAGTTCGAGTAAGAGGTCGAGGAGCAGCGTTGAGATGATCGCCTCAAGAGTCAGCAGCTTGCCGAGGAAGCTCTTCATGAACATCAAGCATCACAACGACTGCTCGCGCTCTGATCCTGCAGGTACTAGCCTCCGGATGAGCCAAGCCCAAGCCACAGGCATTGGGGATTGCAGCCCCGAACTTGAAGCCGTCCCCACCCCAAGAGAGGCTTTTCTGCCTATACTGGTTCATTCTGATCCAGTATATTCGAGTATACATAGCCTTCTGCCAGAAAATGACAAGTGCTCCTATCTGCAGCACCATGAAAGCCTATCTTGTAATGCGTTGGTAGATGCAGAGAGACATCACCAACAGGAAGACCCTTCCGCAGATAAATGCAGTAACAGTAACAGCAGCCCTCCTGAAACCATTGGAGATCCTACATGTACAACACCTGACTCCCAGAACCTGCTGTTGCCAGGAAGTCTTGTTCTGAAGCGAGCTGGTGCTTTGCCTGAGAATCCTTGTTCTGAAGATGCCAAAGTAGATACAACACCGCCACTTCCGCCTATTCCACCGATGCAGTGGCTGTCGGAAAGAGACCATACAGGGACTCAAGCCCCATCTCCTAAACACAGAGCGCTTTGGAAAAAATCACTGGAGGTTACTGAAATGATTCAGGCAATAAGACAGGCGCATAGCCATAGCATCCAGAGTTCACCGGTGGACACGGAAGAAACGCTGGATTCTAATGAGCATACTAGTGCCAATGCCTCTCATAGAGATGAAATGAAATGTTCTGAAGAAACGAGGCATCCACATCTATTCCGAGTCCGAGAAGATGCTGTGCAGGCTTCAGAAGGCAATGTTCTCAAGGCTGGAGAGTTCCCTGTGCCTGCAATACTTTCAGACGAGGCCTGGTCTGAGATAGACATACGGACGCAGGCACAAGCAGACACATGTTTCCAACAACAAGGCAGACAGCAATTTGGTAGTGGACATTCTGATCATGGTTCAACAGAGAAGCGAAGCGAAGAGCACGAGGCTTCAGATAGCAGCAGCAATCTGCAGAACGAGAGTGTATTCTTCTCTGCGGTACAAGAGCTAGCGAAGATGTCCCCTCCTCCTTCAGTGCCAAGGCCCAAATATTCACTGCTTGATGCTGGATCTCACGGCAGGAGCACGGTATGCTTTCTTCCTAGAGTATTTTTATTTTCCATGTTGTTGCACCTTGACATGAACATTCACATTCTGGAATAATAACAGTGACCCGACTAACGAAAAGTGAATGCGTACTACATGAAGCTCATAACAAAGATTCCTGTCATTTGCATTGCAGCTACGAAACGGTCCAAGCCTGATCCATCCTTCAAGAAACATTTTGGACAGCAGGAGTGTACTGATAAAGCAGATAAAAGACATTGCAATGGCCGGCAATCCTGTCAGTACCACGTACATTCTCATTTCCTGCATGAAAGTCGACGTCACATGGTTTTGGTTGTCCTGACAAAGTTGTAATTATATATACTGCCTGGTGGCTGCAGTCTTTTAAACTGAAACCAGTTTCTGGAGCGAGCTCTCCTCAGTCTCCTGTGACCGGGAGTCCTGCCAACTCTAAGGTGGCAACCATTCTACAGAGAGCAGATGACATTCGTCAGGTAACTAAATAATGATTCTTTCAACAACATGTCCTGGTTGATTGAACAAGACGATCATTTCTTTTTCTTTTTTGAAGAATAACAAGACGACCTTGTGATCAACCAGTAAACTGTACATGGCTCTAGTAATCTGATTGGCACTTGTAAATGAAGCAGGCTCACGCAGATAGCAACGATGTTGACAGTGAGGAAAGCTGGAGCGATGACAGTGAATGAATGATTCATTGTTTCCCTTGGCGATGCATAGTAACCTTGGCCCCTGGGTGATGGAGCTGGAGAAGCCCTGCACCTGCATATTTACAAGTTCTCCTATTTTTTTTCCTTTCCCCTGTTTTTATTTTGTAACTTTTTCCCTGTTTTAAGCAGTTCTCCTATTTTTTTTACCTTTTCCCCTGTTTTTCTTCTTCCTGTTTTAAACTACTGTTGTTCTTGCAATTGTTTGTAGAAAATTGTTTTAAGCAGTTCATTTTTTTACCTTTCTTTTTCCCTGTTTTAAGCAGTTCTTTTTTTTTTTTTTACCTTTTCCCCTGTTTTTCTTCTTCCTGTTTTAAGCTACTGTTGTTCTTGCAATTGTTTGTAGAAAATTGTTTTAAGCAGTTCATTTTTTTACCTTTCCCCCTCCTGTTTTAAGATACTGTTGTTCTTTGTAATTGTTTGTAGAAAATTGTTGTACTTGTAATTGTTTGTAGAAAATTGTTGAGGCTTACGGTTATACATTTCAACCACAGGATCAAATCTTCTTTTCGTGATTTAAGCTACTCTTGTTCTTGTATATTGTCTTTTTTCTGGTCTTAATCTACTCTTGTTATTGTATTGTTTGCAGATGTAGAAAATTATTGAGACAGAGATTTCAACACACAGGATTTTTTATATTTTTCCTGTTTTAAGCTACTCTCATATACATACATGTGACATGTTACTTTTTAAAAATATTTTATATTAGATCACTTGTCACTAACATTTATTTTAGGCGGTTTCATCCATTCTGTACTGTTTCTTTGAAACAAGTGAGTGTTGTCGAGCACGTTCCATTATTCACTCATATCGTTTTCATGCTCGAGGTTAAATGATCCCAAACCTTTCCAATTATATCTTATTTGAGACTTGTGTTTGAGTGAGGCTACAAGTTTTGTACGCCTTGCCTGCTCAAAAGGGACGGCAATTAATGTTCAAATCAGGCGAGGTGACGAAGCTGAAAACCTTTCAATAGGCTACTTTCGGCTCACAAATTGAGACAGCTCTTCGATGAAAAATCATCAGATCTGCGAATGCAAATTGTGAAGCGTTTTCAAGCACATGGCTGAGCTCAGAACGTCCCTCTTGTGCATCACAATTCACAGTCACATATTTTTGGCCATGCCCAGAGCCTCTGGCAGCCGTGACAACACCACACCAGCGTCTGTGTTTCATTCCCACTTGGGACAAAAACGAAGTAACTATCAGTATACGCTGGTTACAAGCCTTTCTCAGTTAACATAGAGAATAACAGCTAATTCTTCAAGTGACATGCGTTAGATACATCAGCAAAAAAGAATAGGAAGAAACTGCTACCATCAGGACAAATATATAAAAAAAACAATCAATCTGTGGAAAATTGCTTGCACCGAGGGCAACGTTCTTGCACATTGCTCATTGAGCAGCTGATTCAGTGAAGGAAGAGTAAGAACAAAATGATGAACTGCTCTATATGAGAGCTTTGATGCCAGCTTGTTGCATCTCACGCAGCCGCCAGACTGGGTAATAGGATTCTTCTTCTGGCACCTCATCACTGTCCATGAGTTGCATAGCCCACGAATTGAAGACGGTTTGGATGGTATCCTGGCACATTCCAATCACACAAAAAAGAACTGTTACTTAAATCAAATGTCGACTACAAGTCTACCGGCCAACTGAGGCAAGACAATATGAGCATGCCACCATTCCTCAGCACTCTATAAACTCAACTATTTAAGAGGTGCATGAAGTCTGGCGCACCTTTGACACTAATATATATCATGGACATCAGCTTGTGCTATTCATATAAACCAACCTCACATCTAACAATGGCATTAGCTATGATATAGTAAACTTTACCAACATAAGACTAAATTTTGCAGCACCCCACTCAGGTTCAAAGACAACTGCCCTTTTCAAAACCACCAAGGAAACATTTCACCTTGAAAATTCTACCTAAACATTATTTGCCCAGACTCAAATGGAGTGTTCGTGAAACTGCTTGGTTCTACACAAGTCGCAAAATAACGCATAAATTCATTCATCTGGGTATATTGTCTCAAGTATCATGTCAGGATGCGAGGGATCATGTTATGAAACAAAATCTGTCACCGAGATCATGATTGAGCTATCTTGTAATGAGTCGACCATACACGCCAAACATAAAGATAGGAAAGTTTTGGTTTACAATATCCCAAAAAATAAAGCCTACCTGTCCTCCTTCTGTGACTTGTCCTTCTCGATCTCGAACACAGTATATCTGCTGCGTTTGGAACTGAAATATATATTGGAAACAAGCATACACTGTAAGTAGATTAAACTAAAAAAGGGCAAACTGAAATTGGCATACCACTAATTCACTTACACGTAAGATAATTATGGGTGAAGATCCAAACATTTTTGTTTCCAATACATCAGCTTCTGAAATGTGCAGGATCTGTAAAGGCAATGGAATATAAGAAAATTTCTTGGTCTCTTTTTTTTTTTAAAAGGCAGCAGGATCTTATGTTCTTCCCACCTTAAGAGCAACAAGCTACAGTCAATAATGAAGAAAAAAACAACAGAACATAGCAATCAATTGTGACTGAGTTTGAATTTCAATACTAGATTCAAATAAGCTATGGAAATGGACTGTCCAAGACATCGTTGAACCATGACCTACTTTGTGATCAAAAAATATTCCCTGTGATGCATAAGCTTCTCTCTCTCCTTTGCAGCGCTCAATCACTTCCTTGGTGCAATATTTTTTTAGAGTCTCCACATCACCCTGAAAGCATAATATGTAACTGTGAAATGACCAAAATTCTGAAAGTGTATATGAGTGGGCTGATTTATCATGTAAATTAGACAGAATCTCAATCAATCTCTTTGAACTTCACATTATAAACTTATCTGGAACTCCCCAGTGTCATAATAAGCGCAACAAATTTAATATTTCACCAAAAAATATATAAAAAAATAATATAGAACCAGCCCATCTCATTAGGACAGTCAGCAATCACACTAGTTCAAACAAGGTAAGAATTTCTTGTTAGTATAAGACATGGGTTACCTTTGAATATGCAGTTAGAACTGGCTTGATCGTTTCTTGGACATCGGCAACAAAATCAGAAAGAGAAAAGGACCTGTGCAAAAAAAGGTGATATATAATTCAATTCCGTCCTGAGTCTCTCAAAGTTAAGTTGCACACGCCTTACGGGTCTCGTTGCCGAATTTCCCTGAATGTCACCGCAGCTGAGGTTTCTTCAAGCAAAGATTCATTCAAGCTAGAAGGAATGAACAAAGAAAAATCAGCGACGCGTCAGAAACAAAAAATATTGCATATGATGAAATAGAGAGGGGATACAACTGATTCATACATTCAAGAAAGAGATTATTGCATTGATTACTTTTTATCCCTATTTGTGCTACTAATGAAGCGCAATCACCAATGGATTTGCAGCCATGAATGCACCAGTCAGTTGCATTACTTGGCGCTTTCAAGACCTAAATGTAATGTGCTAAATACCAACAGAAATCAATAGTATAGCATAGTTCAGATGGAATCAATCAAATTCCATAACCAGATAAAACAAAGAATGATGGGGCACATAGTACTCTTGAATTTTCTGAACCACTGGATTGTCACTTGTCTCCCATCTTTCCCTGACATCTTCAGCTACCTGCATTTGCATACACAAAACATGGATATCACTGAAAGAGAAAACTAGGTTTGACCAAATACATTTGTACAGCATTGTGATGGTACCTCTTGTCCCTTGGTTACAACAGGCTTGGTGTATTCATCCACTCTTTTATAGACGGGATGACCTCGGATCTTAGAGAGAGAAAAAGGATTTCAGATAGGAAACCAATATGAGAAAGATAGAAGCAAAGTTGAACAATCTCCTCAAAGATACCTTATTCTTAAATGCTTCCCATTTTTCACCCAATACTGTCCTTTTTGTTGGTGTAAGAACTAAATCGGTTCTTGTACTCTTTTCTACTTTAGCAGAAACATGCCTAGCTTGATGTTTTTTCTTTCTGCTAGAGCTAGAGCTTAATTCATCCTTGACAATTTCATATCCCTGCTTAGCTAAAGTTGAAACTTTTGTGTCCTTCAACTTTGCAAATGCGCCAGATACCACTGGTGAAGCAGATGAGATTGTTGACTTCAATTTAGTGAACAATGTATGGCTGTTTGTGGCATCTTCAGACGTGCCATCTGAATGCGAGGATGTCCCAGTTTTCTCATGTTTTGAAGCTTCAGGCGAACCATCCCTGCAACTTGTACTCTCTTCTTTTCCGACTCCAAAACTTTCCTTTACCTGTAAACAATTCATCAAGGCAAAGAATACATGTTTACGAAATCACGGTCCGTACTGTATCAGAGTGATATTTATTTATCCTTACCTCTTCTTTAGCAGCAAACATTTTTTCTTTGATATTTGCAGTAACCTACAAGTGGGAAAAGAATGCCCTCATAAATCTATAAGCATAAAAACAAACAAATCAATAGGGTACAGTTATCAAAGTCAAACAATCATCCTTGACCACTGTCAATGGCTTACCTTTTTAGATGTCTCCTCAGCTTCACTCCAAACATCATCAACACTCTTGTATATTGTCTCAGTCGTTTTCTTAGTTCTGCAAAAATCATATTGTTGCAGAATATCATAACTTACTACTATGTGTAGATGATTCAAACCTGAAAGTAGTGCAATAATTTTGCAACTTACCTTACTTTGAGATCTTCCTTCACCACACCAAGTTTCTCGCCGAACTCCTTCATGGATTTCTGGAATTCAGGATTACTGCGATAAAAATAAAAATTATGATAAATAAATAAAGTGAACAGATACTGATCGCCATAATTGTACATGAAAGGTGATTCAGCAGTATGTAATCATTATTTCTTAAGATTTCATCATGATGGAGACCTTAAAAGTAACACATACCTCTTGGCCTCACCCTTTAGTTGCTTAGAAAACTCATTGAAAACACTTAGGTTCCTGTTATTCAGATGTCTATATCCATTCGTTGGTTGCACATTTGGCCTTGTAGCCTACAGCACATACCAGCAATGGATGGCAATTAGTAAAACGCATGCAGCTGTGTAATAAATGAAAAAAGGATGAAAATAAGGCATAGAGAAAAAACAACTTCACAGGCATTCTGCATTGGTTTGGTTACATACTGAACAAAGAAAAAGACAGAGAACTTCGTTTTTCAAGTGGATCAAATCAATAAACTGTCTAACTAACCTATGATGAAGTCGTACAGTCTGTGCTACTGCAAACAAGCAAATTGTAGCTTAACAAAAGGTGTACAAGCAAGTTTAAACTGCCGTTCGTCCCTTGTTTGTGCCGTCATCAAGAAATTCCATGAAATGATTCAATTTCACACAAATCTTCAAATCCAATTAATCATTAAAAACAAAACATGTGTAGCAGACAAATGGCGCCTTCAATGTTCAAACTGCAACAGTGAACATAATTTTTCCCATGAAAGTGACTTCATCGTTTACCTCCCTGAAAGTAACCCATACTGGTGGGTGGTGGCCACTATTCAACAGGATGCAAATGCTCATAAGCTATTTCAGATGATATCGGAGCAAATGCCCATATGCTATTGTTCAGGAGGGGGAAAAGTCGCATTGTAGTCCACAAATATCTTACTACTCGAAATATTAATACTACGATTACCAAATTGCTAAAAGAGAACATACTCCACTCACCAATCGCAGCGCGGCTTCGGACGAGGGCCGCCGGAGAGCCCGGAGCAGTGCTGTGGTCGCCATCCCTAGCATGGGCGGACACATGTAGAGCCGACAGATTTTGCAAAAAGTTGGAAGTTTGTAGGCATCAAATAGCCAAATAACTTAGGGTTTGGGTGCTCGGTTTCGCACGGCAGGAAGGGGAGAGAAGGGGTCGGAATACCTGGTGGTGGGTGCTCGTCGCCGGCGAAGACCTCGGTGCCTGGCGTAGGGGGCGGTGGCGGCGGCGGCGGTAGCCCACCCAGTCGTCGCAGAGAGAGACAGCACACGCGGACGCGGGTGAAGGTGAACGGAGCGGTAGCCCAGTCCGGGGTTGTTCGGCCCAGCCAGAGCGCACCCCCACGGGCCTTCGCATGGGCCATTCTATTTCAAAGTTTTTTTCCTTTGCAGTTTATTATTTTTCTTTCCCCTAAAAAAAGGTTATTATTTTTCTTATTTCTTTCTTTCCGTCTCTCTATTTTATTTTCTATTTTTTTCCTGATTTTACATTTATCCTGTCTATGGGACAGTGCCAATGGTTAGTTTCCAATCTTCCGCAGGAGTAACTGCGAGCACCCTCTCTGCGCGTGGATGGCAATCCTACCGCATGTGTTTGATAGAATGAAAGAAAAACACGACTAAAATAAGCCAGTTCAACTCAGCTACAGTATTTTAGTATCAATGGGGTTGTGGAGGTAAACGTAGTAAAAAAGCTAAAAAAACCAGTCGTTTAGCAGCTAGTTTCAAACTACTTTGACCATATAAGTAACTTGTAAGTTTTCCTTGTATCCTAATGTGTGGGTGTGGGTGTAAAATCTCACCCGTGGAATGCAGATACAACAGTGACGCACCTGGGTTTTTACCTCTGGGTATGCGTAGCAAAAAAATTTCTTATGTAATTCGGTAAACCATATATAATTTGATAAATTTTTTTTTTTTTATTTTTTTTACATTAAAAATTTCTACCTATCTCTATGACTGGCGGACCCAGGGTGTGCAGGTTGTATCTCTGTTTGCTTGGGCTTGTTTGGCTGATAAATCATGGCTGAAAGTATTGTTGGTTGATTTGGTGTGAGAAAAAAATATTGTTCGTTGGCTAAAAAAGTACGGCTTATAAGTCAAACAAGCCCAAGCGAACAGGGTGACAGTTATACGCCCTGTTCGCTTGGCTTATAAACCGTACTTTTTTTTCACCAATGAATGAATATTTTCTCTCACGACAAATCGATCAACAAGATTTTCACCATGGCGCCGAAACAGTAATAATAAGATTTTACCCGCTTCCGCTGCTGCTTAGCTAGTTGGTTTCTAAAATTTGGTTTAGGCTTTGGCCGGTCTTTGGTTTGTTGTGAGAGAAAAATACTTTGTTGACCGATCGATTTAAATTTGGTTGAAACCAACAAGCGAACGGACCGTACATATGGATATGTCTTTTCACTCGTCAGTACCTTGGGCATGACAGTCATGGAATGCAAATGATTTCATCTATCCTATTGATAATCTATGTGATACCTAGGGATGACAGTCGACAAAGTGAGGTGCGGGTGGAGTAAATAACCGTCCAACAAATTGGCTAAGTTCACATATGATCCATGGCATGTTACATGCTATATTTCTGAGTGTTTACAGGGTACACATTAAATGTATTAATGTTCAAGGGTGTATTTTAGTTTTTCAAGAAGTATATGGTTTTCTTCTTCTTTTTATTTCACAACCAACTACAGGTGGAAGCTTTAAATAGAGATGCGAAAACATGCCAATTTCCTCTATCATTTATATAAGTTCCGCCTTCCAGATTACACTAGTCACCAGGCCTCGCATCTGATTGAGTAACCACTGATAACTGATTCATGGTGCCACATTTGCAGTGAAATCCAACAACTTGATGCCACTTTTGCAGTGAAATCCCATCTATTTAAATCAAGCTGACGGGCATCTCCAGCATTTTAATCTATGCAAACGTGCTCAATTCACCATGCGATCAAGAAGACAGCACGTCACACGGACGCGGAACGAACGGAACACATAATGCTTGTTTCTTGTGAGGATACTGGTAGCCGATGCATATTTCTAGCACAACGTTCCAGCATTCACCGAAAGGGAAATTTTACTTGAAACAATCAAAGCATAATACACGTTCTCCAACCACTTAGCTCAGTGTGCAACAAGTATTGTGGCAACCAAACCAACATATCTCCCATTATGAAGAGAGGCGCTACTACAATAGGATAACTTGTTCTGACAAGGCAGGCACGAGGCTCCAATTCGCTACATCTACATGTAGAGACCATCCGGAACACCTTCCTTCTTCTTGTACATCACCTTCTCCTTTGCCTTCTTGAAATCTGTATGGGTCACCTGGGTACCCAAAACAAAACATCAGCAATGCCAAATGGAACCATGAAGTACTATATGTTCAAATAGACATAATTACATTGGGTAATACACACACTGAAATCTAGTGATCCAGGTGAAGGAAGCCAGTTCCTATTGATAAACTAGGAAGTACTTAACAAAAATCGATCAGTTAAAAGAGTCGCACAGATTATGTGTTCAGATATGGGGCAAGTGATAACAAACTGAGATACCAATTAGAAACCATGTAACAGATTGTCAGGAAGAGAAAAGAACCGTATATGCTCATGCATAAATCTATGTGCAAAAAAGTTGCCCTGACACACACAACAAAACTTGATCCAGTGGAAGAACATGCCATGCATGTACTCTAGGAAAAAGCAATGCAACAATTTCCATTCATCAAAACAACACTTCTCCAATTGTTCAGCTCACATGGTTAGACACAAGGGTATTGGCATTTCCACGTACAACGGATCAAAGTGTTATATTTGAAGTACACAACATAATGACAATTTTTTCTATGCAAATGGATATGGAGCATCAACCCTATGCTCACCTTCACAGGGGTACACACTACACAGTTCTGGAAACCTCTACAAAAGCTAAGAAATGTTCCATTGAATGGATAATTGCAAACAGAGGTTTCCTACAATCAGCCCCTTTGCATGTGCTGATATCATGAAAAGTGCATTCATCTGATAGGCTTCTTAAAATGATATCCACACAACTGACCAACTTGAGAAAATAATCTGACGAGTACGAGAATCATATTCCTGGTGATCAGCTGGAATCGGTGGATTACATCTATTTTGCAATGTAGCACAAATCATGTCTCCTATACACTATACAGTGAGGCGAAGACAAAGACTTGACGGATATGCTGACGGCAAGGACAAACAAGTGATGAATGATATACAAGCTCATGCAGTGATTCTGTGGCCTTTGTTGCCTTCCCTCTATCAGTTTTTTTGCAGTTATTATTAGTTTTATTTTGGTCTATAACGTCTTTTCTTGTTGAAACCGGATACGTTAACTTTCTTATATGCAACTAGATTTTGAAACTCCAGTTTGTCTAAAACAAAGATGACATTGTGCAACATGCAGCAGATAACTACATCTTCAGCAAGACAACAGCAAGAGAACTGCCCAGTTAGCATACAGAATGGTTCAAGTTAAATACACCCAAATATAATTCCTATTCGATAGCAAATAAGAGGTTGAGTTATTTGAATACTTGTATTCACCCAGAAAAGTTTTATATCAATTGAAGAAGGGATAAGTGTTCAGGTTCACCTTCATTCTACGCTCTCTTAAGGCGAGCAATCCAGCCTCTGTGCAGATGGCCTTAATATCAGCGCCCGAAAACTCATCTTTGGTCATAACAAACTCTTCCAAGTTCACATCGTCAGCTAATGTCATTTTTGCCGTGTGAATCTGCACAGTTTACAACCTTTATAAGGACAAAAGGTATTAAGAACATTGATAATGTAAATATTACTATTTACAGATGTTACAGTACTTGGAAGATGCGTCGTCTAGTTTTAATATCTGGGAGAGGAAATTCAATCTTCCGGTCTATACGGCCTGGCCGAAGCAAAGCAGGATCAAGACTTTCAATACGGTTTGTTGCTAGAATAACTTTAACATCTCCACGTGAGTCAAAACCATCTAGCTGATTCAGCAGCTCCAACATAGTTCTTTGAATTTCACGCTCTCCTCCTGAATGAGCATCATACCTCTTTGTTCCAACTGCGTCAATCTCATCAATAAAGACTATTGAGGGAGAAAGTTCATCAGCCACCCTAAACAATTCTCTGACTAGCTTGGGACCATCCCCAAGGTACTTTTGAATAAGTTCACTACCGACAACACGCAAGAAAGTTGCAGATGTTGAGTTAGCGACAGCCTGCAGAGACAGTTTCAAGTAATCACTACCCAAGTACATGCTATTTGAAAACTGGAGTAGAAAAAGAATGCATAATATGGAAAAACATAGACAAAGGCATATATCATTGAGGATCGACGCCTGCCCCTACAATACTAAGCAATATAATATATATATTGTATGCTTGCAAGCCTGAGCACTGACCTTGGCGAGTAGAGTTTTTCCTGTTCCAGGTTCTCCATATAATATGACTCCCTTGGGGGGCCTGATCCCAATGTCTTCATACAGCTCAGGATGAGTCAAGGGAAGCTCAACTGCCTCTTTAATTTCTTGAATCTGAGCATCTAGTCCACCAATGTCAGCATAAGATTCCAAAGGAGCTTTCTCAACTTTCATCACAGATACCATAGGATCAACTTCATCTTGCAATATACCAACCACAGAGAGAACCTGAAGTAAACATTTGAGTGAGAAAACAAGCTGACTTACTATATCCTACCAGCTGTAAACGATCCACTAATGCATGCACAAATGATGATTACTGGGCACAACTGAGTATGTAGGGAAAGCGCCTAGTCACAGTCAGAGATGTATACGAAGGACACTAAAATGAATACAAGTATAATAATTATTGAACATGAAAAGCAATATGGCCTTCTGTAGAGCAGTCAGACATCACGCACAATATCAATCCTAAGATAAAATCATTAGAGTAACTGATATAGCCGTGTTACAGGAGCAAGTGGACAACCACCACACTAAAACGACTACAAGGAACATAACAGATCGTGTACTGAGACATGAATCTGAACAATCACGATATCCTAGGTAACCCTTAGTTTGTCATAATCCATGATTGGAAAAAAATGACCTCCAAGTCACCTTTGGCAATCAACACAGTACAAACACTAATCCTCCACAGGGCCCTAGTATGCTGATAAATCTAACTTTCGTGGTTTTGCCAAGTTTATGTGAATGAAAACCTAATAATTAATTCAACAAATCCCCAGCATAACAACAAAGCACAGAGATTACCGGATACCCTTAATCAGTAGGGTCTACAAATCCAACGACTCCCAGTGACCAGCTAGCACTAGATCGGAGGGAGATATTTAGATCGAGGATGCTAGATCCGCACCGGCCAAGTATTGTAGGGTAGTAGCGCGGGTCCCTAGAAAGTAGAAACAAACCTTGTTGTGCATGAGGATGGAGCATCCCGGCTCGAGCTGGTCCTTGTCGACGAAGGATAGGATGCCGACGTAGTACTCCGGTCCGACTGAGGAGGAGACGATGGCGTGGCTCTCGTCGATGATCTCCTCGAGGGATCCGACGCTCATGGGGGTGCCGCGGAGGTCGTCGACCTTGGATCGGTCCTCCTCGGCCTTGTCCTCCTGGGGCCGGAGGCGCTCCTGCGCGGCGACGAACTCCTCCTCCATGAGGAGATAGTCCTTGACCCGCTCGAGCTTGAGGAGGCGGAGTCGGCACTTGGAGAGCGGCGCGACGTTGGGGAGGCGCGCGGCCGCCTCCGCGCCCTTCTGCTTGCGCTGCTTGCGGCCGACGCGGGAGGGCGCGGCCGGCGGCTCGAACTTCTTATCCTTCTTATCGCCGCCGTCCCCCGGCTTGCGGTCGCCGGCGCCGCCCTGCTTGCCCATCCCTCCTGGAGTGCCCTGCCCCATGGTCGCGCTTGGCCGCCGACGAGGTGCTTGCTTTGGATTTGGGTTTGGGGGAAGGGAACAACCCTGGGGAGCGGTGTGTGCTTGGATGCGATGCGAGGTTGCGCTCCGCCTCCTTTTCCTCCGACTTCAACTTCCCCAGCAAGATGAAGGGACTGGGCAAGCTAGGGGCGAGGGGCGGTCCCAGTCTGGGCTGCATGGCCCGTGATATTGATGGGCCTAGGTTTCTCGCGGCCCATTTTCATAGGCCAGCCTACTGGATCAGGCCTTTTGGCACATTGCCTGACGCATGGGCTTCAGTGCCCCCCAAAAAAAATAGACGCCTTGCACCTGTTTTTATGTTTTTCATCATCGGTCAATTTTTTTTGGGCTGACTTCTTGTTGTGTGGCCTGTTTCGTTGTTCAGCTTCATTCAGAAACATTTTCTTTGAATTACTCGCCTGAGTTGACTAGGTTGAGACTTGGTGCCCGTGGTAGTGTTGGCTGATTTGTTGTGAGAGAAAAATATTATTTGTAGGCTGAAAAAATATGGCTTATAAGCCAAGCAGAACAGGGCGTGGGACTCTAGAGGGCTGCTGCCAACACCCCTCATCTTTGGGTCTGCTTGAGACAATTCTTTCAGTGAGAAAACTTATGTTTAAAATGGGTAATGAACGAAAGTTCAAGAAACCATGGTCACTGGCTGAGTTTCTGAAGGTCTTTTTGTTCCATCATGCCGTGTTGGTTTATGTTTTTTTTTATCATATGCTGGTAAGCTGGTTTACGGTTGGTTGATGATCGAGACGATGGTTGAAGAAGCTAGTTTCAGGCTTGCAGGGCTCATGCTTTCAATTTACTAGTACTGTTTTAGGCAGTTTTAGTTTAATACGACTAAGCATGTGTAGGCGAGCCGCTGACGTGTAGGGTTTAATTTGCCTTCATCGTATTTCAGACTCCTATGCACATATCTAGTACTGCTTGAGATCTTGGTGTTAGTTGTAATTCTTTATTAATTTCCTCTGTCCTGCTCTTTTCACCCCTTGCACATAGTTGCTGCTCCTCCAAAGAGAAAATGACGGAATAATTCACACGCGTGTCAATTTAAATGTTGGCAAGGAAATATCAATGTAAACTATCTCATATATAGGTTGTGCCGCTTCATTATTTTTTCAATTCAGTTTTAGGTTCAGGATTGTTATCAGTTCAGTTTTTAGTTAACTCTAGTTTTGTTTTAGTTTATTTTTTAGTTATAATTCCAGGTTTCTTAGTTCATAGACTTTAGTTTCATGTTCATGTTAGTTATTAGTTCTGTTTTAGTTCGTTTTTTATCTTTATGTCATCTTAATTATATGCTCAGTATAAGTTTTAATTGCACATAATAAAACCTGTGAAGGGTGGACCTGGTGCAAGCGGTAAAGTCTTACCGCCTGTGACCAGAAGGTCCCGGGTTCGAGTCACGATCTCCTCGCATTGCACAGGCGAGGGTAAGGCTTGCCACTAACACTCTTCCCCAGACCCCGCACAGAGCGGGAGCTCTCTGCACTGGGTACGTCATTTTTTAAAATAAAACATGTGTCAATAAAACTGAAAATAATTATATTTATTTTTAGTAAAATTGTCAAGGACGTCAATGCCCAAGACAGCGGGTCCTCGGCTACGGAGCTCGTAGCCTTGGCTGATAATGGCGTCGGGGTTGTTGCCCTGCTGCCCAATGGTGAAGGAGGTGAGATTAGGAAGAAGAGAGAGGATTATGATTGGTAATTCTTGCTTAATTCCAAGAGTGCCAATTACATGGATTATATAGGCCCATGGCCAGCTAATAAAAAGGAAACAAACTCCTTTATTCTAGCAATATCTGATTCTAGCATTATCTCGATTGCATGGTCGCATGCCTAAATCAGCTCCCTAGATGCGTGGTCGACGCGTCGGTCATCGGGCCCCACATGACATCTCTCCCCCTCGACGAAGCAAACTCGTCCTCGAGCCGGAATGTGTGGGGTAGCGGCGACGGTTGCCGAGGTCTTCCCATGATGTCTTGATGAAGCGGGTTCGCCCTTCCAGTGAACGAAAATAACGCTGGCGAACCACGGTTAAAGCGAAAGGCGTGTGCGGTCGGGCTCCGGGACGCCGCGGCCGTGGTGGATCGGTGGTAGGGCGGGTGCGCGTCGCCGGGGCGTGCTTGACGAACTTCTTCGAGGTCGACGTGGAAGACGCCGTGAAGGCGGGCGCTATCCGGCAGCTCCAGCGGTAGGCGGCGTCGTTGATGACGGCGGCGACTTCGGTGCGGCCCGTAGAAGCGGGGTTTAAGTTTGCCCTTGGTCGAGCTTGAGGGACGCCGCGGCACGCCGACGGGCGGCGGCGAGCGACCCGATCGCCGGCGGCGTAGTGGACCTCCCCGTGGTGCTTGTCGTAGTAGGCCTTGTACACCGCCTAAGCGCTGCTGAAGGTAGAAGTGACGCGACGTCGGCGAGCAGCTTCGTCACGTTCGCCATGGACTTGGCCACTAGCGCAACCCTAGTGTCGCCGGGCTCATAGGAACGGATCGTGGGCGGGTCACGGCCGTAGACGATCTTGAAGGGCGTGTCCTTGAGCGCTGTCTGGAACGCCGTGTTGTAGATGAACTCTGCCCATGGGAGCCAACGTACCCATTGTCGAGGACGATCACCGGTGAGGCAGCGGAGGTACATGACGATGATCTTGTTCGCGGCCTCTGTCTGTCCGTCCTCTTGTGGGTGGAACGCCGACGTCATATGGAGCTTGGTGCCCGTGAGCTGCATGAGTTCGAGCCAGAATGCTGACGTGAAGATGGGATCTCGGTCGGAGACCATAGACTACGGAACGCCATGGAGGCGTACAATCTCGGCGAAGAATGCCCGGACCACCGACTCCGCCGTGTATGGGTGCGCGAGGGGGATGAAGTGGCAGTACTTGCTGAAGCGATCCACCACCGTTAGGATGACAGACTTGTCGCCCACGCGCGGGAGCGCCTCGATGAAGTCGAGGCCGATATCGATCCGCATCACTGCCGGGACGGCGGCAGTGAAAGGAGACCCGCGGGTGCGGTGCTCGACTTGTATCTGGCGGCGGGTGGCGCAGGCGCGGATGTGATCTTGAACCGTCTTGTGAAGGTTGGGCGAGTGGAAGTCCCGGCGGAGGCGATGGAGCGTGCGCTGAACACCCTCATGTCCATCGTCGTGGACAGCGGTGAGCACCTCGTGGAGCAGTGGTGATGCCGACGGGATGTAGAGGCGGCCGTTGAATGCAACGAGCCCATCGAGGAGCGACCAGGGAGCCGCGCATGTACCCGCCGCCAGCTCGTGCTTGAGCGCCACCAGAGCCGGATCGGTGGACGTAACTTGGCAGAGGCGGTCGATGTAGTCGAAGCGGGGGCCCGAGATAGCCAGGGCCATGGCCTCCTCCGTGTCGCGGCGAGAAAGAGCGTCTGCGACTGTGTTCGTGTTCCCCGCCTTGTACTCGACGGAGAAGTCGAAGCCGAGGAGCTTGCCCACCCAGTGGTGCTGTGGAATGGTGGCCAAGCGCTGATCCAAGAGGAACTTGAGACTGAAATGGTCAGTCCGTACCACGAAGCGGCGTCCCCACAAGTATGGCCTCCAATGGCGGATGGCGAGGACGAGGCCAATGAGTTCACGTTCGTACGCCGCCAAGGACGCATGGCGTGGCGCGGTCGGCCGGCTGAAGAACGCCAGCGGGTGCTGGTCCTGAAGGAGCACTGCACCGAACCCGTAACTTGACGCGTCGCACTCGACGACGAAGGCGCGGTTGAAGTCGGGCAGGGCGAGAATAGGCGCCGTCGTCACGGCTGTCTTGAGGGCGGCGAAAGCCGCAGCAGCTTCCGGTGTCTAGGAGAACCCTTCCTTGTGGAGGAGGTCTGTCAGGGGGGCGGTGATCGTGCCGAATTCCCTGACAAACTTATGGTAGTACCCCACCAGGCCAAGGAAGCCCCGGACCGCCCGCGCCGAGCGAGGCTACGGCCAGTCGGCCACTGCTTGGACCTTGGCGGGATCCATGGCGACACCCGTAGCGGAGATGATGTGGCTGAGGTAGGAGATCGATTCGACCCCGAACGCGCACTTGGATCGCTTGACGAAGAGTTGATGCTGCTGGAGCGTGCTGAGGACGGCGCGCACGTGGCGAAGATGATCGGCCCATGACTCGTTGTAGATGAGGATATCGTCGAAGAAGACGAGGACGAAGTGGCGTAGGAAGGGGTGCAGAACGTCATGCATGAGCGCCTGGAATGTTGCCAGCACGTTGCAGAGGCCGAACGGCATGACGAGGAATTCATAGAGGCCGTCGTGGGTGCGGAAGGCGGTCTTGGCGACGTCGTCGGCACGCATCCGAACCTGGTGGTAACCGGAGAGCTTGGTGAAGAAGCGGGCGTGGCGGAGCTCGTCCAGTAGTTCATCGACCACCGGAATTGGAAACGCATCCTTGATTGTGATGGTGTTAAGGGCACGATAGTCCACGCAGAATCGCCAGGAGCCATCGGCCTTTCGGACCAGGAGAACCAGCGACGAGAACGCCGAGGAACTACGGTGAATGATGCCCTGGGCCATCATCGCGATGCATTGGCGCTCCAATTCATCCTTGTGCGCGGCGGGGTAGCGGTATGGCCGGACAGCCACCAGGGCGGATCCCGGCAGAAGGTTGATGCAGTTGTAACGTCCCACCTCTCCAAGGCTGGGCCCGCTTACATCTGGCAGCTTAACTATGATATAGACTACCCTCACAGACCAACACTTGTCTTTTTTGCGTACTTTGTCCTCACTCGTGCACACCCGGGAAGAACTTCCCGGTCGGTCACCCATCGCTCCAGGCCAAGCACGCTTAACCTCGGAGTTATTTGTAGATGGGCTTCCGGAAAAAAAGTTGCAACTTATTGGTATGAGTATCCTAATAATCCTATTAAGCCCTGAGCCTGGGTGTTACATCATCACCCCCTTAAGAGATCGACGTCCTCGTCGATCAATCCCAAGCTAGGAATGTCCCCTCTTAGCCACGTC